CCTGAGCAAGTTCTTCTTGAAGCTGGGCATTCTTCTGGCGTTCCGCAGCTTCGCGTTCCGTTGCCTCCGCTGCTAGACGGTTGCGGTGTCCCTCCGCCTCTACAACTCGCCTGTGAAGTATTGCGAATTCTTCTGCTTTCTTCTTCCGCTCGTCCTCTTCCGCCACCCTGGCTTTCTCCTGCGCCTCCAGTGCGAGTGTCCTGGAGAGCTCTTCCGCGCGCTTGGCTTCCGCAGCCCAGCGTTCCTTGTCGGCCAGTTCTTTCGCTATCGCCTTCCGCGTTCGTGCAACTTCCGCTTCGAGCTGCTTCTGGAACTCTTCCTCTCGCAGCTTAGCCTGCTGCCGCTCCTCCTCCAGCCTGGCTTCGGCGGATTCTCTAGCCTCCCTCGCCGCCGCTTCTTCGCTCTCCCGTCGGGCCTGGTCTGCTTTCGCAGCCGCGTCCTTTTCTTTTCGTTCGCGGGCGAGTTCCTCTTGTAGCTTCAGTCTTTGCTCCTCCTCCTCGCGCAGCCTGGCGCGTTGCTGCTCTTCCAGCTCCTGGACACGTGCTTCCTCAGCTTTCCGGAGAGCGAGTGCCTCTTGCTCTTGCTTGGCGTGAGCCTCCTCCAAAGTCCGACGTACCCGCTCAGTTTCCTCGTCGATTTGTCTCTGATGCTCTTCCTTCTCGCGCTGGATGGCTTGCCGTTGCTTCTCGAGAAGGAGAGCGTGAGCTTCTGCGTCGGCCTGTCTAGCAGCAGCGATCTCGCGATCGCGGAGCTCCTGCTCGGCCGCAACTCTTTCAATCTCTTGCCGGGCTTTCGCTATCTCGTCCTGTAACCGAGCTCTCTCGCACTCCTCTGCTATCGTTCTGGCTTGTTCTTCCTCCTCCCTGGCTTTCACCTGACGCTGCAGTTCCGCTTCAAGAGCAAGAGCCTTCTGGCGTTCTGCTCTGATTTTCTCTGCCTGCTCTGCCTCAGCTTTTGTCTTCTCGGCTTCGGCCCTCGACATCTCTTCCTGGAGGGTGCGGAGATGCTCCTCATGTCGCGCTTCGGCAAGCTCCCGAGCCATGCGCTCCTCTTCGAGCAGGCGAGCCTTGCGCTCAGCCTCCTCTTTCTGGGCGGCGAGGAGTTCGCTTTCGCGACGTGCGTGCTCGAGCTGCGATGTCTCGACTTCTTTGCGGGACTGCTGGACTTTTTCCTGTAGTTTCTCAAGGTCCTGCAGGTGGCGACGGTTCTCGGCTTCCATGTCCGCCATCTTAGACTCGAGTCGCGATTTCTCAGCGACAAAGTCTGCGGCCATGCGCTCGGCGTTGCACCGGATGCGCTCGATCTCTTCCCGCTTCTGGTCAACTTCTTCCTGGAGTTCGCTTCTACTCTCTTCATCCTTGGCGCGCATTGCAGCCTCCATCTCTTGGCGCAACTTTTTCAATTCCTCGTCATGACGTTCGGCCTGCTCATTCAATGCGCGAGCGAGCTCGGCGCCTGCAGAGGTGTGAGCCAGATCCTTGTGCTCGTTAACGAGCTCGTGCTGAATACGGAGAGTCGCAGCCTGGCTGTTGATCAAGTGACGAAGAATGGTGTGTCCGGACGCCTGGGTGCCGTCGTGGCGGAGCATCCGAGCGCCCTTTTCAAGAACTGGCTTGAAGAATTTGCTGTTACTCGCAAGTTCTCGTTCACGGGCCTCGCCGAGCTTAAGGTTGACGCTTGACCACATGTTGGTCACGATGAGAACGTTGCGGAGAGTGCTGTCTCCGCACAGCTCGCGGAAGATGCGGAAGTTACGTTTCGATGTGCCGCCTATCCTGACATCGGAGATGCGGTGCATGTAAATGATACCAGCGAGCTTGGCACCTTGTTCATAACTGCGAATTGACTCGTCAAGGTCTGTCTGTGCCCCCATGTGAGGGAGAAACTTACGTGTTGGAAAGGTATGCAGCGATCGACGAGAGAATGTCTGTGTCGCTACGGGTCGTATCGTCGAACCCTGGCGTGTCAACCAGGGTGACTATCCGCCCGTTGAGGAAAAACGGCTTCGACGTCCGCACTTCCGACGTGCAACTCTCCAGTCCACGACCAACAGGCAAATTGGACCCACTGGCTAGGTTGATAAACTATAGAACCCGGCGGTCAGTGACTTCAGATGGCAGTCTCGCAGTGGAAAATACCAACCGTTGATTTGCCACTTCCAGTGGCTCCCATAACCCTGTAAACGAACACTTAGAAAAACATGATCCGGGCGGTCAGAAACAAGCGTACGCGATCCTGATCTCTTTCCCGCGTTGGGCCATATTGATAGTCGTCGGCAGGTCAACAAGATGGAAGAAAAAATAAGGGGTGAATGTTACACAGGGGTCGACACAAAGTTCGTTCGTAGAGGAAGCTGGTAGGCAGAGAACAAGTAGGTTCGAATTGCAAGGCCTTTCAACGTACGTCTTTATATCTACCACCGCCATTCCTGCGCCCTGCATACTCGTCACAGTGCTATGGGTCACTTTTGATCACCGTGGCACCTGACCGTCACAGAGGCCCGTGTTTGTGGTTCTAGATGAGGCACTGTCTCCAACGACCGAGTTCAAAAACACCTTTGCAGCATTTCACTGATCGGGCATAAGGTCCCCCACGATGATTCCGCGCCGTTCAAGCTCAAATCCAACTGAACGGCCTTGCAACCCCTCAGGCCTGAACGATGCAGCGTGTTTCTGGGAACACCGCGATCTGAGGGACGTGACGTTCATCAGCATCTATGGCACGATGGTGACTTGGAGAGGAGTCGTTTGCGCCATCATATCCAATATCCCGGTATCACGCAGCGACTGATAATGAGGATCGGAGGGATTAAGACGTGTTCCCGCAAATCTAGACCGCTACTCCAAAACCTCCTATACAGCAGCAAGAAAGTCGCTAAACAGAAGAATAATAGAACGTGAGCCAGTTCAAAGGCGAAGCTACATAAGGTTGTCGGACATGCTATCCATGAATCACCGGTCACCCCTCCTTTACATGCAACATCTCCTCGATCCTGCGTAATTCCGCCTGGTATTCGGACCCAAGCCGCGATGCCTGGTTCTCAGCCTGTCGCAGTTGGGCTTCGACTTTCCGCATTTCCTCCCTCAGTTCGTTCCGCGTCTCCTCATCCTGGCTCCGCTCCGCCGCTGCCATCTCCTCCCTCAATTCCTCCAGCTCCTTCTTGTGTCGCGCAGCTAGTTCCGACATCTCCTTGTCAAGCTGTTTGTATGCAGCTGTCTGCGTAATGTCCATGCCCTCACCCAACTCGCGCTGGATTTGAAGTACTACAGGCTCCTTCTCAATGAGGTTCTGAATGATGCTGTGAGCGGACTTCTGCGTGTTCTCGTGTCGCAGCATCTTTGCATGCTTGTCAAGAATCGGTTTGAAGAACAAATCCTTGGTAGCAAGTTCACGCTCTCGGTCGTTTCCTTCCTCCTCAGTGACGTTCTGCCACATGTTGGTGACGATGAGAACGTTTGGGTAGGCTTCTTCGCCACAAAGCTCCTGGAACATTCTAAAATCCCGTAGGGCCGACCCCGTGAGCTTCAAGTCTGAGATTCTGTGCATATAGATGACTCCTGCCAGGCGTGCTCCCTGCTTGTTGCTGTAAAGGCGGAGCGTTAGTAATCGGATCAGCAGAGCAACTGCGGGCATACGTGGTAACGAGGTACGCAGCTATAAGCCTCAGGACGTCGGTATCCGTCAGAGTCGTGTCGTCGAAGCCCGGAGTATCGATCAACATCACTTGCTGTCCTCCCACGTTGAACGGCGACGACGTCTGTACTTCATTGGTGCAACTTTCCAACCCGGAACTCGCTCTGAGGTGAGATCCCGACGCTAAGTTGATGAACTGATGATTTGCTCTCTGAGCGAATTAAACGTCATCGAAATCAACTAAGCGGCACACCGTCGTCTTCCCACTCCCAGTAGATCCCATGACCCTGATGTGAACTGATAAGCAGGCCTACTCGACGAGAATGACCATGCTCCGAACGACATACGCAATGTAAACGGTTTCGTGGACTGGATATGGAGAATATGGAGACTTTGGCTCCTCGTCCGCGAATTTCGTCAATTGACTGCGCCTCGAACATGCAAGGAGTTGGCCCATCGTCGGAGAAGTTGGAGGGCTGAATGTGAACTCGGACCAAGGAGATATCAGGGCTAAACGGGTGGTTTGAAACAGCACGTGTTGGCAGCGTTGTATCACATTAGGCCCACGCGAAGGAATCGCCTTGAGGGGCTGTTCAGAAGCGTTGGAAACCTGGCTTCCATTCATCAGATTCCGCGGGTGTATTTCAGCAATTCAGTAATCCTGTTCTCGTTTGGCGAGCAACACGCGTTTAACCCGTGGACGAGCCTGAGCTGTATGACATCACACGGAAACGGCTCCATTAATATCAAGCGGCGCAGGTCTGACCGAGCAGTACTTACTGTGCCAAGACGGACTAGAGCAACGAACGGGGTCATGGCGCGTGCACCCATTCGAGAAACGAAGTTCGTAGGAAGATCAGGGATGGACTTCGCAGAGGGAGGAACGTTCGAGAATGCTGTGTTTCGAGCAGGACGATCGGGTGGTGAACCGGCGATGGTGATCAGATCCTGGAAACTGTTGTCGAGTTGGCGAGTTGGACTTGTTACGAGACTTAGGCTGGCTCCGCTGTAACGAGAATGTGTTCCCATCGTTTCCGAGTCCACAGTCGTGGGCGTATTAGTCTGTACCAACCCATCGTGCTCGCCGCGTGTTAGGCTTTTCCAGAATTGTTTGACAGGAAGATGCCCACGGAAAGCTATAACTACTAGCTTCGCACCCACGTTTGTGGAGAGCGGCTGAGAAGTACGAGACCACAGAGAGGGGAGCGAACCTTGTCTAGTCGGGACATCAGGTTTCTTCGCATGGTGGTCAAGGGAGATGGTGTTGATGGTCTGCACGCGACTGCACAGTCTTGCTTGCTGCAGAGATCATGTTATCGAAGCCACCTGAGGAATAAAAAAAAACAGTGTATATATAAATAAAAATTTGGATGCACAGGGGATTGAACCCTGGACCTCATACACGGTGGCTGTGATTACACAAGCACTTGCAAAGCATGCGCGCTACCACTGCGCTATGCACCCATGTTTCAAGCCTGAGGAGTGTTTATCAAGAGCCAAAGATAATGCGCGCATCCAAAATAGGAAGGGGATGACGATTTGATTTAATAATCTTAAAGCCATGTGCCGAAAAAAAAGTGGCCTGATGTGTCGTCTACCGACGACATGTATAAAATGTCTATCCGAATACTGCCTCCGCCCTCCCGTTTGCAACTTCTTCATCTGCGGTCCTGAGCGCAAGGACGTCGTGTACGGACACAAAAGTACCTGCTTGCTCTCACCACCATGGATCTCGTTCTACACCTCGCCGACGAATACGTTCTCGACAATGTCTGGGCTCATCTCGTTCCCCCTAATGACCACCTCGTAGACTCTTCCTCGGAACTCATCTCTGCTAATTTCTCCACAATATCAATTGTGTCCCAATCTGCGTGGCCGCGAGATCATATTCCAAGGCAATTGTTATCCTTGAGCATTATAACGCTGATTGGAATACATCTCCTCTACTTCATTTTCGCTGGCCTCTCATTTCAATATATATTCAACCATGAGATGATGCGGCACCCACGTTTCTTAACAAACCAGATCAAGTTGGAAATTCAAACCAGCTTGAAAGCCTTCCCAGCCATGATGCTGTTGACGCTTCCGTGGTTCCAAGCAGAGGTCATGGGGTATTCTCGACTCTATGATAACGTCGATGAATATGGGCGGCTTTACCTCGTCTTGTCAATACCCTTGTACGCGTCCTTTCGCTGATACTGTGGCCTTGCACTCACGAATATGTAGCTTCCTGCTTTTCACGGATTACTGCATATATTGGGTCCATCGTATTCTCCACCATCCCATGCTTTACAAGACTTTCCACAAGCCACATCACAAGTGGATAAGTATGTGTCAGTGTATTTCTCCACGTTTTTGTAAACTAACATATCTGCCCAGTCCCCACCCCCTTCGCGTCGCATGCATTCCACCCAGTAGACGGATACTTGCAATCCGTGCCATATCACTTGTTTATCTTCCTCTTCCCCCTCCACCGATGGGTATACCTCTGCCTTTTTGTCTTTGTAAACTTTTGGAGTATATTTGTGCGAAAACTTCAAATCGCGTTCCTTGATATGATTCTGACGTTTCTCGGACAGATTCATGATTCGGATATGATTACCGGACACCCTCTTGAGCAAGTCATAAATGGTCCCGCACACCACACACTGCACCATCTCTATTTCACGGTAAACTACGGTCAGGTACGCACCGCAATCCTCATTACATATATTCCTTTTCGTGATCTTGAACCTTCTGTACCAGTATTTCACCTGGGCGGATCGTGTTGGTGGCTCGTATCGTCATCCGGAGCCGTCCCTCGACCCCTTGCTGGAGGTGAAGGAGAAGACATCGTGAGCCTTGAGACTCTTTGTCATGGCTATAAATTCCGGTGGTAATACACCAGTATCACGCCTGATCTGGAAGTACATTTACTTTGCATTTTCTAATGTTGCCACTGCATCTTCAATGCGTGCAGCATCACGCCATGTTCATGTGTACGTGCTCCCGCTGCCTGAAGTCGAAAAACAACGAAGAACTTCGCAGTGAAATATGGGTACATAGATCTCATGTATCTACCCCTGACTCTGAGGCTGCATAATCGATACAATTTAATCGACGACACAGGCAATTCTGCAAGCAGCTGCGTTTGGCAAAGTCCAGAGAAGAGGTGTTGGTGACAACGTACGAGCTCCAGCCTCCTTGGCGGAGGACGCGCGATGTTACTCGCTTTCCGAGAGGCAAGGCCGCAACACCCATCAATGATACCGTCCAGTGGCACAACGCCTCGCATGAATTTCCAATGCTCCCTTTGACGAGTTCGATATACCTCTCTGCGCCCTTTTTGCCGCTGCCACAGACCCCAATCACGCCAGAGCCCTTCTGATGAATGTACCCTCCTTTTCGAGCTAGCAGAGTCTGTGGTGCCCGAGTTGGTTCCGGGCGGTCTGTAAATTTGAGGGCTAGGAAGAGAATTGGATGTGAAATGAATGTACACTGACACAATCATACCGCCGTGTTTGTGACAAACAACCACCCTACGAGTGCACGGAGTGTGCGAGCATACGATTCAACCGTTCAAAGCACCTCAATAAAATCCCCGCATGTTTAAGGCGTTAAGGGCGTTGCGGATGTGAAAGATCCAGGGGGGGAACCGGGAAAAGAGGGGGGGGGCATGGTTGCCGTTACTAGTTTGTTCCAATGGGATGGAACTCAAAAATCCGGCGCAGTGACTGTCGCTCGTTGACTCTGTGCGTGAGATTACAAGGACGCCGAAGCGGGGGATATAACCCCCCTCACAACAGTGTCATCCATCCATGCTAAAAAGTTGGTCATTAGATAGATTAGAAACCTGGTGCCCTATGACGCACATGGCAACGGAACGGTGTTAGTGTCGCTATAGATTGATACAAAATTCAAAGGCATGAGCAAGCTATGTACAAGTTCACTATAAGATAGTTTACTGGCCGATACGACGATCACAGTTTTTTCGGTCGCCTCTTCACCTCATCGTCTTTGCATGCATGCAACATGAGCTTGTTTGGGTGTCCCGGGGTCATTCCACTATGTCCTTTGGACCAGTCGTAGGAAATGGCGTATGCGAAGATGGTGCCGTTGCGGTTGAAGGTGGTGGCGCTGATCGGGCCTGCCGCGGCTTCAAAGGCTAAGCAACATGTGCATCAGACTCGGAACGATCATGTATGAAATGTATGTCAGCATACTCTTTAGCCGTGTACGCGCATCCTTGTCCCAAAAGTGAATGGTGCCATCGGCCCCTGTTCATAATTATAAGCGAATCAAAAAATCGTCTGTCTAGGGTAATTTTTTGGCAAGGCTTACCGCACGTGGAGAAAGTTCCGTGGACGGGGTGGAACGAGATGTCATTCACGGCATACACCAAAGACTGATCTTTTGCGTTCGGAGTCTGGTCTCTTCGGTGGCATTTGAAAGAGAAATTGTTGCTGTCGCCAATGTCATGACCAGGATCCTCGTCAGAAGTCAGAACACACTCACGAGCCATCCTTCTCTTCGATGTATCTGCGCAGATAATAAGCGAAAGGTCAGAGCGCGTCTATTGCGTGACAAACGTACTGGATTGCCACGCGTCCTTCGATACTGCCAACTGCAAAGCCACTATTGGCGGAGTTGGTAAAGCACGAAACAACACGTGTCTGCCACTTCAAAGGCGACGTTATGGTCTGCATAAACAACGTTCGAGTCTGCGCTCCGAGATGGACATGACAGTGGACATGACCTTGTAAGGCGTGTTTGGATTCGTCAAATTAAATATTTGAATGTGCCGTTCCGCAGTGCCAACCACAAGGAGCGGGTATTGCACGTCCATGCTGTAACAACGCTCCGGTATTTGCACTGTGGCGATAGGATTTGCTGTCCTAAGGTCCCAATACTACTCAGAACGAGCCAGGAACGGCGACGCATCACAGGATCAACACCGTGTTTACTCATGCAACGCTCGTGTGCACAGACCTTGATCGTCTTGTCCCAACTCCCAGTGGCGAGGATGCCGCCTTGCGGGGTTTCTATCCACTTGACGACTTTTACAGGTGCATCGTGTTGAGCGACTTGTGTTGTTTGCCCGTTAGTAATATCAAACATGCGTGCAGCATTATCGGCGCCGCCGGATATTACTTTGTTACCGTCCTGCTGAGTGCTTCAGATAATATCACATTTGGAACCATTGTTGAAGCACGTACCTTGTTCCAACAAACGCTAAGTACGGGTCCTTGGTGGCCGTACATAGCCTTCCCCTGTGTTTGTCCTCCGGCGCCGACTTCGTACAAGCGGACCTTGTTGACGCGTCGATGACCACAGACAACACGGTGATTCATAGACTCACATTGTTATCCCAACTCCCCACTGCAAGATAGTCCGCCGCTGAAGAAAAAGAGAGCGAAGAGATGGAGTCGGCAGGTGGCTCGGGGACTTCGATGTCCTTTTCAGCTGGAGCAGCGGGCGTCGCTGATGCCGTGGCAGTCCCAAAGAATGACATGGCACCTCAACGATCAAGTGCGCGAATAAAGTGAAACTAGGAACTCCAGTAAGCGAGCTGAAAACAGATGCTGAGAAAGACAGTCAGAGCACACGAGTAAATGATTGCCCTAAACATGACAGAATGGGTGGCGTGGTAAAGCGCTGCGAAAAGAATATTCTGTGTTTCCTTGCCCCTTGCCCTCAAGGCGGGTTGGCGTAATGGTAACGCGCTAGTTTCCGGTGGTGTACGCTAGAGATTCTGGGTTCGAGTCCCAGGCCTGTCGCTTTTTGCTCCCTCTGTAGCTTGCACATGGCATAGTATACAATTCGAGTACACATGATACAACTTGCGACCTATCCCTTTGACTTGACTCCGAGATACTCTTACACTGATCTGACATACGCCGATCTAAACAAGTTTCACTCCTTCATAATCTCCGAAGACGGGTGTAGCAAATGTGCCATCGGGGTCTGATTAATGATTGCCGTCAGTGCACCATACCGCAGTAACAAGTCAACCAGAGCCTACCTTGGCCCTCGCGGTAAATATACTCCTTGTCTTTTTGCGCCAGATGCATGAGATAGCTGGCATTCAAGTGTGCCTCCGTTGAGACCGCTGCATTAAACAACGCGCCAGCACGGACAGCAGCCGCAGCAACGTGATATCTCGAGACATGGTTGCAAAGCAGCATCTACCGCAAAAATCTTATTAGTAAAGGACCAGAAGGTTCAATTTGGCATAACAAACATCAAATGGAGATGTCGTAGTCCCTTCCTCGCGATACCTGTTGATTGCTATCAGCAATGGAATAGTCGGAGAAGGACTGCGACAGACCCCTCGATTGACATCCTGTCGATACCTGGCCTGCCGAAGACTAACCCCTTTACCTCGATGGGATAGCCGTGGTAATTGACGATGATAGGTCTATCCTTGGTGAACAGTTTATCAAAGTCACCGTCGCTCAACGCGTGAGGGTGGCTTCCATGCGGGC